TCTTATACTTTATCCTTTTCATGCTTCCTAAAACTGCACCAGCAGCATTTATAATAACATCTCTGAGGTCCCTCCAGGCTTCACGGACATCCTCACTATCAGAGAGACCTGCCAGGCATTCACAAATCAATCCAGTACATCTGGTTGCAACTCCTTGTTTCACCAATTTTCCGCAATTCAATTTCCTAGCCTGGGATCCATGTATCTTCCTTGCATTAGATATTCGACTTCTAATCTTTGATATTATTAAGTAATGATCAGAGTCAATGTTGGCTCCCCTGTAGCTCCTGACATCCATCAAATCTGAACAATGTCTTACATCTATTAGGATGTGATCAATTTGATTAAACACATTTCCATCAGGGGATTTCCAGGTTCGTTTATGTATATCCTTGTGATTAAACACTGTACTACTTATTACCATGTTTCTTGGGGAAGCAAAATTTATTAATCTCATCCCATTATCGTTTGACTTGTTATGTAGGCTATGTTTTCCAATAACCGATCTATATACATCCTCATTCCCCACTTTAGCATTCATGACCCCTATGATTTTACAGTCCCTTTTTGGACATTCGCCATATATTTCATCCAATTCATCATAAAAGGAGTCTTTCTCCTCATCACTTTTATCTTCAGTTGGGGCATGCCACAAATAAGGCTATAGTTAAAAAACTTTCCCTTAATTCGTAGCCTATATGTTCTGTGAGATTTTGTCTGGAAGTCTAAAATAAGATACTTCCTCTTATTATTAACAATAAAGCCTGTTCCAAACATGTGACTCTTCTTCTGACAACTATAGAATACAATATAATCCCTATTTTCCATTACTCCTTTACCCAACCACCTCAGTTCTTGTATAGCAGTGTGCTCTATTTACACCTATCTAGTTGTTCAAGTAGCATTTTTAGTGCTCCGCCTCTGTAAAGAGATAATACATTCCAAGGTCCAATTCTCAAATTCTTTAAACATTTTCCAGGTCGTCTTGAATAGGTTCGTCCGGCTACTCTTTCCTCGGATTTCTGAACAATTTAGTTTTTACGGTGTGAGGTTGTTAGCCTCATGCCCAACCCCCAACCTGGAGGACCAGGGTGTCTGGCTCCTACCCCTTGACCTGTCCGGCATGGGTGGCCCTACCAGTAGCTACGCTACCGCCGGCATAGCTCTCAGGGTCTCAGGAACTCTCAAACTCCACCACCACCACCACGATAAGTTGGAGATACCATTGCTGGGGACCTAAATTGCATATGCCTTAACTTTTATCAGAACGTCAAATCGTATAATGTCGGAACAGACAGGCTACGGCGATAATACTATTACATTAGAGACGCCTTTCTACTTCTTAATAGTTTGGAGTAAATTTTCTAAGATTTTAAAATGAGTTACCCTTATATCCCTAACCTATCTATGGTTCTACAGCCCTTTCGTTGGACCTTCGCCGCGTTTTCAGTTTCCTGACCTTTTACAAGGTTGGTAGGAGTCTTGGACGAGCGATCAGCCCGTCGCAAGGCAGCTATCTGCACACAGGACAACACAAACACAGAATAAATGTACACAGACATCCATGCATAAAGTAGGATTCCAACCCACGATCCCAGTGTTAGAGCGGGCGAAGACAGTTTAAGCCTTAGACCATGTGGCCACTGTGATCCTGTGATCGACTTATATCCCTAATAGACCTAAAAGTAAAGTAAAGCTATCCCTGTAACAGGCCGTGGAGGCCCATAGGGTTGTGAGACGTTGAGGGTCCCACATTTTCTAGATAATCGGCTCATTGATGCCGACAAGGTTGTCAGCCCTACGCGCCAGCCGCCCTCTATCCCCAAGAATATTCCAAGAATATTCCTGGCACTCATTTCTGTTAAGAGGCTGAGTCGACCTCAGGGTCATAGTGCGGCTGGAAGGATTAGGTCAATTGAAAAAAAGTCCAATAACCTCATCGGGACTTGAACCCGCGATCTTCAGGCTTGTAGCATAGTGCTTCAACCAACTACGCTACCGCATGCTCCCTTAATCTCAGAACGATTCTCAGAAATATCTTGATTCTCTCAACATCTATGAATGATAAAAAAAAATTGAGTCTCGTTACGTCTTGGCCATGGAAATTAGGTTCGTTGGTTATACTGGCGTTCAAATCTCCTTCCTGGTAACGCTACTTCCAATGCTGACTTAGTTCTGCGACAACAAGCACACGGCAAGTGCATATCACTGCAGGGTATAAAGTAGCATCGTTATAGCAGTGGCCGCTAGAAATGGATGTTCTTCCCAAAAGGCCAATTCAGGATGCTAATGGATTAATATTTTACGAGAGAGAATGTGCAGACTTTCGGAATTCAATTACAATCGCGATCAGGAGAATATTTTGCATCCGAAGGACATACTACTGAAGAAAATTATACTGTGTCCTAAACTGAAGCAACCGAAGGAACAGGAAGATGTAGCGATAATGCTCTATAATTACTCGGAGGCGATCGGTTCGAATCTCAGACGGGTCACTGGCTATCCCGACTGAGATGTTTTATTTTTTTTTTCTCAGCCCCTCAAAGGAAATCAGGGAATAGTGCACTAAGTAATTCATGACTGATTCCTTCCAAATTCCCTCCAATTCATTATTCATAAACAATCCTAATATTTCACGCTATATAGTCTGAAACACTGGTAGACTCTTAAAACAAACTCCGCGGCCTGTAGTTCGCATGCAAACTATACCAAACGAGCGACCGCCGCTTGTCGGTGAAGTTAGTGCCAACTTTAGCGTAAAGAGGGTGTTACGTGGTCAACGCAACGAATCCCCACGGCCGTTAATTTCGGTTTTCTGGACCGGAGCCGCTATTTCCTTGAAATAGCTCCTCAGTTATCCTCACGAGGCTGAGTGGATCCCGTTCTAGACCCACTACTTCTCAGAAAATCTGAGATCTGTAGCCAGGAACTCTGACCACTGGACCACAGAGGCGGTAAAATAAGCCATAAAAAAAAAGATAGTGGAGCTGATTTGGCAAAATTCCAGGTAGCCATTTCATACCACAACTACAAAAAATTTGGCTTCTTGTTCTTGTTATAGGTCACTGCACATACCAATAAGTTATCTTAATAAAGATTCGATCAAGATAGAATGTGCAAAATATCGGGTTGCGACACGGCTTCTGACAAATTTCACACACTGAAGAACACGTCTCAGCGAGTCCCTTTCCACCTGTTTCCCTCTGTTTGAGCCCCAAGATCTGATCTAAATAGCAGCTTCCAAAAAATCTCTTCGGAAGAAATTTTTACGCCGCACAAGTTCACAAGTAAAGTAAGAACAATAAGAACACGATATATACGCAGTCATGTATTAGTCACTTTCAGTTCGTAACCTTGATTCTGAGGTTCAAGGACCGTCGTGATGAAGTGAAGAATTCGGTGGACGGAAACGCGTAGGATCTGCTGCCACCATTGTACAGGCTCCGAGCACGAAGGTTTGGCAGGGGGCGGGGGGGGACGCTATATTCAACGCTTTGAAAAGCAGGGGCATTGGGATTAATTTATCTCTGTCTGAAGTTGTACCAACTGCAGAAGTTCCAGCCAGTACAATGTTAAGTTGGTTTAATTATTATGAGAGTCACGGCTTGTTCCAGGCACCGATCTAGAATTGCCTTGATAGGACTGAAAGAGCCTTTAAGAATTTTGGGAGGGTAATGACAGATGCGTCTTGCAGAGATCAGAAAATTTGTTCTCCCGATTATTAAGGATTTTATCGATTATAGCATTGCCTGCTCTATTAAAGAGTTGGTGATTATTTCTTGTGGATTTATTCGTAATTATACTTGTAGTAAGGGTCCTTTTGAAATTTAGGATTTGTGGTTCTCACAGCAGTTGTTATGATGAGATCTATCTTCTGGAACATAATGTCGTGTATTCCGTTGAAAGTCAACCGAAGTTTCGGAGAAGAATCTATCCTCCATCTTCAGTGTAGAAGAATAAGCGAAGGGAGAAACCACTGTGAAGCAGGTAGCAAGTAGATGTGGGCACCGCGTAAATATATTTATAATTTTCTGTCACCCAATAGGTCTACTGCTGTAATAAGGAAATCAAGAGTGTAGAAGCAGGGGAGCATGTGGCTAGAATTTAGCAAAAAAATGCATACAGAGTTTTAGTGGGGAAATCCGAAACGAACGTCAACTTGGAATATGGAAAATAAGTTGCGAGACTTAGAGATGGACTGAGAATATGTCGTGGTGACGAAACATCCGACCTCATTATCACAGAGTTTGTTAATTAGGTACAACGGATGAAAAGTTACGTCCAGACATGTACAGTCTAACAGCGCCATGTAGTAATGTTCTAGAGCCTTTTTGGTGAAAATATTCCAAACACTGGGTTCTCGTTTACAAAAAAAAAATCGCTTGTATTATAATATAATCTAACTCCGAATGTCGTAACAAATATTTGGTTGTATGTTAACAATTAACCTGTTGGTGTAAGTTTTGATATGAGGACAATTTTGTAAACCACCTATACTTATATCTTTGCGGTCTCTCATTAACCTCCTGTTATTATCCACATCTACTTTAACTGGTGCACTATTTTGATCAACCTCAAATCCTATACATTTTGGTAGTCTGACTATAATGTTGAGCCGCCACTGAACTGCCGTGGAAGCGACTTGCATCGTTCTTGCAATGAGTTCTGCAGCTTCGATCCGACAGTCGATATTTTTGGTAGGCTAAGTTTGCCAATTTAGTAGCGTCATGTATTCATCTCAGGATGCTGATCAAGCCCGAATTGGGGATTCGCACTTTCCGCAGTCTGATAATATAGATTTACTGCAATATCTGTATGCCTGTAGGCTGCTGCTTACGTCAGGAATAAAAAAATGGAACATAAAATGCTGAACACCGTAAATGAACGGCGGTACGGGCAGTCGTACGCGATAAGTTTATTGGCGTTCTCAAAATATGAGACAGCTAAGTTAAAATACGTATCAAGGAAGTAAATGACTTACTTCTGGATGAAGCGATGTCCTATTGTGAGAGACAGACTTTATGGGCTCCTCCAAAGCAAAGGACGGCGAGAACCTTACAGAGTGTAGTCCATATCCTGAAAAGAAAGCATAATTAAACGAAAGGTCGTATCTCGTTAAACGTTATTCTATTGTAATGATATGTGTATGTATATTCATGAAATACATATGAAAGTACATCTAGGTCCTTACAAGCCTGTCCTCGCTCTACTGGTCATAGTTCCTGGCTACAGATCCTGAGGTCCGGGTTCGATTCCTGGCGGTACCAGATTTTCTGAGAACTAGTGGGTCTGGAACGGGGTCCACTCAGCCTCGTGAGGATAATTGAGGAGCTATTTCAAGGAAATAGCGGCTCCGGTCTAGAAAACCGAAATTAACGGCGGTGGGGATTCGTTGCATTGACGACGTAACACCCTCTTTACGCTAAAGTTGCCAGTAACTTCGCCGACAAGCGGCGATCGCTCGGTCGGCTTTAGTCCGCTTGCGGACAAAAGCCACGGATTTTTTTTAACTATTCATATGCCAATCACGGTGGCCGCGCGGTCTAAGGCATGAACTGTCTTCGCTCGCTCTAAAGCTGAGCTCGTGGGTTCGAATCTCACTTAAGGCATGGATGTCTGTGTGTGCGTTTATTCCGTGCTTGTGTTGTCCTGTGTGTAGGTAGCGGCTATGCCACGGGCTGATCACTCCTCCAAAGTGTCCTACCGGCTGTGTAAAAAAAGATTATGAAACTACAGAAAGAGGCCAGGGCCCAACATAGGGCTCTAGAGCCATTGATGAATGACTGACTGAATGAATGAATGAATAAAAAATAACTATTCATATAAATCAATCATAAGGTGCCCTGAACTACCGGGATTTGATTTCCGGAAAGAGATGACTTTCTTTTCTTAGATATCACCTAACCATAGAATTATGACACACAACAGGAAGAACACTATAAAAACTATAGAAGTATTCTCGCAAAGTAAATTCGATCACAATATAGTCATAAAATCAAATCAAAGGAAAGAGAATGCGATGGGTGAGACATGCAGGACGCTTGGGAAAGGCGAGATATGCAATCAATAGTTTAGTCGGAAAATATTAATTAAAGGGGCCGCATTGGACCAGCATGCGTAGATGGGAAGATAATATTAAAATGGACCTTAAAGAAGTAACGTTATAAAATATTGACTAGATTCATGTGCCGATTATAAGGTTCAGTGGCAGCCTGATGTGAATATGGCAACAACACTCGGTTTCTATAAAAGTGGCGGAAGTTCTCTAATCGACTCTGTGGAACTACCTAACCCAGAGAAGAACATTTTTCTTGAAAAGATAATATTCGTTCAGTTAGTTAATAAATTCTCCTGCCTAATACCAAGCACGAGATGCACGACAGAAGATGTCAATAAAGTACAGAAACTGCTCAATACCATGTATTTTTTTCCCTTGGCACTACAGCCCCAGTGGGTGTAGGCCTACCTCCATGAAGTTCACTTCGATTTTTCTAGATCTTACACATTCGGTAGGACTCCTTGGGCGGGTGATCAGCTCGTCGCAAGGCCTCTACCTGTACACAAACACAGAAAAACGCACACAAACATCCATGCCCTGAGTGCGATTCGAACCCACGATCCCGGTTTCCGAGCGAGCGAAGACAGTACATGCCTTAGACCGCTCGGCTACCGTGATCGGCAGTGTATAAGAATAATATATAAGAATTCACTTCGTACCTCACAGGAAACAGATCCGAACCCACGATCCCGGCTTCCGAGCGAGCGAAGACAGTGCACGCCTTAGACCGCTCGGCTACCGTGACCGGCTTCAATACGATGTATACCTTCATAAAATGTCCATAGAAGGCTTAGTTTTGTTATTAATTCATTTGCAATAAATTCGTGAATTACATTTTTAAGGTAGAGTGTCCACGATTGCGATACTGTGACTCATGTGACAAAACTGTCGGTTTCTCTACTTTGATCACTGGTCCATAACCTAACAAGTTTCCTAATTCAAATTGACTTTGACGGAAAGGTACTGAAGGAAGGTCAGAATTGAGCTGAAGGTTGCGGAACAATACTAACCACGCCAAAATGACTGATGATATAAACATTAATTAAAGAAACTTAATTTACCATTTCTTCATTTTGTACTTCCCCACCGGATAGACGGTCATTATTAGTTCTCCGCAGGAATGTTTGTAAATGACTCACCCAGACTAACTTTTTGAAAGGCAGGTGTGAAATTGAGGTCTGAGTCCTTTAATGAAAGATTGCACTGAAAATAATTAGCATTGTTGATAAACTTATTTGCTAATGACAGCACTGAGTAAAAAGAAACATGTAGGCCTTAATTGTTCCACTAAACACTAGGGTTATCTAACGGCCTGACCTCCAGTTATTGTCGGGGACACATACACAAGTTTCACACTGTTAGCTGTGTGCTACGACAGCAAGCAGAGCGTAAGTACGTAGTGGTTGATTGTCCGCAGATTCTGAAGTAGGAAGCAGAAGGACTTGACAGAACAGGAATATTTTCTGTGTGTCTGTGCACCCTCCTCCTAATTTGTTTTCTGTGCGGTCCGCGACGCATAAATGGAAAGTGGGCGGTTAGTTCTTGTTTCAATTACTATGTTGCACTACGTTCCTAATCATTTTGTTTAAAGGTAATTGATATTTTTAAGTTTAAACATTAATTATATCCCGATATAGTATACGTTCTGTTGAAATATGTTGTAGCTGGTAGCGTCGGCTAGAGGGGAAGCCAAGTACTGGCACAGTGACTGCAGTTCGACCCCAGATTAGCACAAAACTAGCCTGAGAAACGGCTACCGCATCCAAGAAAGGCAGCAGGCACACAAATTACCTACTCCCGGCACGGGGTAGTGACGAAAAATAATTATATTTGTTTATTTATTCAAGGTTTACTTAAATATACAGCAGAAGGGACAGCGTAGTCGGTAGAGCGACTGGCTACGGGCTGGACGACCGAGGAGTCGAAGTTGAAGTCCCGATAGGGTCAAGAATTTTCTCTTCTCCACGTCGTTCAGACGGGCTCTGGGGTCCATCTAGCCTCCTATCCAATGGGTACTGGGCGCTCTTTCTTCGGGGATAAAGCGGCCAACTAGTGCCGAGGTCAAGAAAATGTGAGCCTATATATCCACTCCCCCATACACCTACATGGTGTAGTGCTTAATTAGTTAAGCACAGTGATAACTTTACCTTACCTTATATACACTTTTAGCAGATCGGTCTATACGGCTTTGAATTGTAGGTTGTGTAAATAATGAACTGGAAATGTGGAATGAAGAGATCGTGGCCTAATCTGATGTGTCATCCCGGCATGAATACTGAAGTTAGCATCAAAAGCCAAACTTTCTGCATGCTGTGGTTCTGCAGTAGGTAATTATTGCGTCTTGATTTCCCAGCCTCGGAGCAGCCCACGTCAGTAAGTGAGGGTCACTCTTCGACACGTGTAAGGCTTCTTCTTTACTCCTCATAATCGACATGTTACACTAAAGTAATTGTGTAGTTCTCGTTTGACGACAGATTCAGAAACATCCGACAATGTTTACCCTTCAGTTACATATAAACAAACCTTCTGACTAAGTAAGAGTCTAAAAATACAAGGATGTTACAACTTCATATATAACCCGACCGAGAGAAATGCTGCAGTGATTCGAAGAATGGCTGAACAAATCTCTCAGCTCGAATGAGATAAGAGAAACAATTTATAAACTTGAAAATCGCTGTCTTCTGCTTTGTACTGCCTTGTAGTCTGGAAGAAAGTTACTTTTAGGAGGAACCCGCTACCTTCGTCTTAATGATAGAACCTCAAAATATGGACAGCAGGTTTTCTCTAAAACTTTGGTAGCTTTCTATTTGGCGTACGCGGAGTCACAAAATCTTCATATTCATCGCCGTCAGAACCCCAGAAACTTCTTTAAGATGGAGATCACAGGTTCCATGAAAACAATGGTAACCTTCTACCAGACCGCACAGCAAGAACTCGTTAATTTCGAGCTGAGCTTCATCGACGGTTTGTCTATGTACATCCTCCGTACCAGAGCGTCTATTTCATCATTCGTTCGGTAGCTTCTGTAGATTGAATATTCAGACGGACAGACTCGACTTCCCTATTATGCATTCACTTTATGTAATTACAGTGAAGAATTCATAATCAGACAACTGTGTTAACACCATACGCTCCTCCCGACCGGCATCAATCAGTAGTACCAACCTTGATAGCGACAGAATTGGTGACTCTGTGAGTCATTCATTCAATCATTCAATGAAGGAAAATACGATGACATTCATGGTTCTCTGCATACGCTGTGAGAAGTCTCTGCCTACAAAATTTTCTCCCCTACATATCAACTTCCTTTCCACTACTGGAAACACGTGCGGTTGGAGCTATGCCCCGTCGACAAACGCACATGGGCGTTCGAGATGCGCGAGTTTCAGTACTGAAATATTTTGGCGCATACTGTATTTTTCAGTTTGACTCAATTTACCCGTTAACATAGTTTCTGTCATGTACCTCACTAACTGATGTTTGCAGAAACAAAAGAAAAGGAGTATGGGGGAAGAGTGAAGTTGTGTTCGTTAACACCTCATTCCCACCGTAGGGAGCTCTGCTAGGACACAGGTGCTTGAATCTGACGTTGGTTATTGGTCTGGGCTAGCCGTTAGCGGCCGTTAAACCGATATCACCCGTCGTTTGGGCTACAGCGCAATACTTCGTAACAGCTGGTGTGTAGCAGACGAGTGTTGCTTTGTCAGCGCCATCAAGCAATATTTCTGACACCGGGGCAAGCCACTGGGTGGCAACTGGTACCGGCATGGTTAGCACAGCGAGAACTCGTTTGAAATGTATCCGGTTCAAATCCCGATCGGCGATTGGTTACTCTGATTACGGACCTTTGTGTACCCTTGAGAGTACATAATTCAAATACGTCATATGAACGGCTCCTTCTGCGTCCTTCCCAAATCACAGTTGAAAGTAGCGCTGTAATTTATAGTTGGACGCTATATAATCTAAACGGTTGGCATATCGCCCTTAATTAACCAAGAAACAAACAAACCGATCATTA